ACTGTTAAAGTACGCTTATTAGGACGACACATCAATGATTAAAATAGTTTTTTTTTCCTCTTTGTAAAAAAACCCCTTGTGTGTTTCCTAACTTTCACCCGCGTAAACCACGCACCCCGTTTGTTCACACCCTTTCTGCGCCCCCCCCCCCCCCCCCCCAGTATTCGTATAAACAGGGTTTGAGTGCCTGCATAACAGACGCTTTATGGGCCAAGCGAGGCAAACGCAGCAATTTGCGCCAAGCGCGAAACATGCGCCCCCGTCGTCTCGCGATTCGCAGTCGCCCGGCGCCTCGCGCAAAATGGCGCGTTCGCCTCGCTTGGCTCATAAAGCGCCTGTTATGCAGGCTATAATATTAGCACGGAAGTACTAATTAAGAATACTATTTTTATGTCTCCTACTGGAGATGGGTCGGCCTTGCTTTTTACGTGGTCATCTGAGCCACGCCAAGGTCTGGTCATTTGTAGGGCATAGGACGTACCATCATTTGTCAGTTATTTCAAGACCCTGAATATTGGTCCACGTCCCGGGGCATTCAAGGGCTCTACCCACTGAGCTAATCTCACCGCGGTTCTAAATGATGCTGATGATGACGAATACCCTTGAAGCTTAAGATAAAATATTGTCCTGGCTAACTCTGCAGTATTACACAACTAGTTGTGACTTTCCTAACAAAACCTAATTCCAGATATATTGAGCTCAACAAAGCTTTGGGAAGGTCAAACTTATTCGCATGTTTACTTACCAACTCTTGGAATTTTCCTGTCACATTTCCATTGAAGAGAACGAACGTTCCTCCACGGCTAGCATCCACTTTCACAGAACTCCGAGTAAACGCTTCCAGTTTCTATGGGAGAAGGCAAATTGTTTGTCAAACAATTCAGGGCTCAAAATAATTTTCGGGCGGTGGCCGGACACAATGACCGGCCAAAGAAATTTTTGATCGCGTCAAGTCTCGTTTCTGACCAATCGAAATATAAGGGGGGGGAGGGGGTAGCCAACTAATCCTTACGTCATCTTCCATTCGTGAACATGATTGTGTTTGCACAGAGACAAAAATGTAAGATTTAAAGGTAAGGATTTAGCTGTTTG